GTTCAACATTGAACCTAAACAAAGCCAGCAATACCACAACGTTTGTGGGTTGGCACACATGCAACTAGGGCATGACAACTCATATACTTGGTATTAGGAATAGACAGGATAGACGAGGCGGCGATTGGAGCTATTTGGCTGACAGTAGGTTTTACAAGAGACGTAGTCTATGTAGCAAAGCCATGACCATGAGACTTACTCTGAGGCTTTAGTTTCTAATTAATCGTCCAGGTGCAATTGGAAGATAGGAAAGGATTTTTATGTGATTAGTCTATGATAAAGTGACTACAATGAATTAATTTGCGGAGCACAATGAAATAAAACTTTCACAATCCATACCACCTCTACTTAAGTATGGATTATAGACTGGCATACAGATTATAATGAATGAATGAATCGTTATAATCTCCTTTTTGCTCTCTTCATCGCAAAGTTTGAGCTCAGTTAGCTCGAAATTTTCGCTAAAAGGCTTCAACATGAGAAGGAGAATTAATCAAGCTCCAATACCTAAATTTAAATGCAAAGTATTAGTGAATTAAGCAAAAAATTAGGAATATAAAGTATGATGCAACTCACATATATATCGTGCAAAAGACTTTGGTATGTCCATGGATGGTGTAAAGGAGTTGCTAGATCGATGCTCCTATCAAGAAGAATTAACAAAGGGCGATAAAACAAAAACTGTGGAGAAGACCAAACGCCGTCAACTGGTGCAGATGCTCCAGAAGGCACGATGCTACGGGTTTTTGCAATGTTAAAGAGGCCATTTCGAGAATCGCGAAGGCAATCACGGAAGCGAGCCTCTAGCTTAAGAGCCACATGCTCAGCAGCATTGCCTCTCGGTGCACGTATAATTGGTACCACACCGAGAGTAGCAAAAACTGAAAACAGACTGTCAACAATACCGAATATAAGAGTGTCCAGTTCCTCCTCCGTCGCCTGAATGTGACTAAGACCTGGATAAAATAGAAGAATCAATATTCATGGTAGTAAGGAAGATTTCGAAGGATGCTTATAGCCCTATGTATGCATATAATTGGGTTCTGAAAGCCATAATAAGCATTGGTGAAAGAATGTAAATGCTACATATACTATCTTGGTGTAAAAATAACTAAATACTGGTCAAGGGTAATGCCAAAAATTTATCATAGAATTTGTAAGAACATTCCAGTTAAGTAAATATTAATATATATTGATCGGACCGCTCTCATTAGTATTATTGCTAAATCCAAGCCTTAAGAGAATTAAACGAGATAAATGGCAATATATTCATTCCTCATGTTAGACTTAGCAAGCAAGAAATGAAAATTATTAATAATTTGTCATGAGTAAAGTAACTTGTAGTATGTGATAAATTCACGGCATGAAAAAAAAC